CTGGTCTATTTTCCGCTTCATCTGAGCGTCCTGAGCAAGATCTATCAAAACTTCCTGCTTTACGGAGTTGGGAATGAAAGTTCGGGGAGGGATGACGGCCAAGTTCAGGCTTGGCTGTCCGATAATTCACCATCGCTCCTGACATCTGCTCTCCTAAAACTATAAATGCTGGACGCGATCCCCTTCTCTCCCTCACACATGACTCCTGAACCCTACCTCTGCAGTTGCCCCTTGGGGTCCCAGCCTCCTCCTCAAATTTTGGCTAAACGCGCCCAGATCCTTTCAGTACACTTCATTCTTGGGTGTTATTCCTAGTGAAAGAATAACGGGTGACATTTTTGAAAACATGTTTGACTTTAGTAAATGCATGTCCTCTTCCTTTGAGAGGGAAGGTTTGCCATCTCTCCTTTTGTTCAAGGTCTTGAGTAAGTGTCCAGTGTCTTGACAATCCTCCCCCCTCCTTTTCCCCCCCCTGCTGTAGGGCCTGAGAGTCCTGCGGACAAGCTGGGCAAGATGGAGCCGAAGGAAGAGCCCCAGTGAGTGGTTTTCCTCCGTGCCAGTGGTGGTTTTTAGTTTGATTGTCCAGGAGGGAGAAGGGTGTGGAGTGGGTACTGTTCTGCCTCTATAAATGGTTGCCTGAAAGCCAGTTTAACTCACTGGTCATCTCTCCTGGTGTGAATCTTTCGTAAACCTGCTTTATTGACACTTGCTAGCTGACGTACTAATGGACCGGTTCATCCCTATTCACGCCTGTGTTCCCTTCCAGGGAGGGACTGGAGTCTCCTGATTGCTACCTAAATGAACTCCTGGAGCAGCTTTCCCTGGTCAATGCAGCCAAGCCTTCGGACAGGGTCCTAATTCGCCAAGGTGAGAGCTGCAGGAGAGAGGCGCAACGATGCCCGAGTCGGAGAGTTTGTGTCTTCCTGGTTTGCCGAACACTGGGCTGTACTGCTGCAAATGATTTCCGGTGTGAAAGAAACTGTGCTGTGTGAGAATCGGCCTTCCTGATCACATGGCTAGATTTTTAATCGGTCCTGGTGTGCAGACCATTTGTGTGCCTTCAAAAGCGTCTGTGAACCAGGATGTGACGGAGCCTGTGCTTCTTATCCCCAGAGGAAGCAGAGGACCCTGCCTGTATCCCCATCTTTTGGATTAGCAAGTGGGTGGACTACTCTGACAAATACGGTCTAGGTGAGTGGGGCTCTACTCTCTTGGTAGGCGGCTGACTTATAGCCTGAACTCGCTCTTAAAGTAGCAGGATGCTGTGTACCAACTCCACTATTTCCTTTCATGTAGTTGAAAAGTCAGCTGGATACGAGCAGGTTTCTTAATTTTACTCCCAGGCTCTGCTGGGGTTTCCTGTTTCTCATGACCTTCATGGCATCTCCCTGCTCCTTATGCAGTTGCCTGTTCTTCTGTGCCCCTTCTGCCCTCAGGCTACCAGCTGTGCGACAACAGCGTGGGCGTGCTGTTCAACGACTCGACGCGGCTCATCATGTACAACGATGGCGACAGCCTGCAGTACATCGAGAGAAACAACTCTGAATCCTACCTCAGCGTGCGCTCCTATCCCGCCATGCTCACTAAGAAGGTCAGTCCAGCCCTGAGAGGATGATACCTGCCTCTCAAAACCGTAGAGCAATTTAGGCACGTGCTGCAACCCGCCAGAGTAACTGCTTCTTGGATTTTGAATTTCAGGTACAGGAATAATGAGAGTTTTTACACTTTAGCATTTAAGAAGGCAGTAAATGGTATCTACCTAGAAGCAAATTACAAATGACGGTCTGTTTGGGTCTTGCCAAGTTAATTCATTTTTCAGACATCTAAAAACAAGCTCAGGTGTTCTCTCATCTGTGAGCTTGCTGCTTCTTTTTGAAGACCGCTCTTTAGCGGGGGTTAAATGGGAGGCTGACCGACCTGTCCCGCCTCC